TCACCACCATGCAGCAGCTATGGGAGAAGACTCAGCAGCGTCTTAACACGATGCAGAACTCCCAGAAGCAGTATGCCGATCGCCAGCGACGAGATCACTCAGTAGCAGTTGGAGATCAGGTGCTTCTTGACACGCGCAACTTGAACCTTTCTAACCTCCCATCCAAACTCCGGCCTCGCTTCTGTGGTCCTTTTCTCGTGGAGGCACATGTGACACCAGTTACATTCCGCTTGCGCTTACCAGATACGTGGAAGCTTCACAACGCTTTCCATGTTCAGCTACTGAAACCCTACAAGGACCCCAACCAACAGTTCCAAGGACGGCAGCTACCGCCACCACCACCTGTACTTGTGCAGGATGAACCAGAGTACGAGATCGAGCGTGTTCTCACTCATCGGCACCGCGGCGGCAAGACCCTCGAGTTCCTGATACGCTAGAAGGGATACGACCCCACTGAGGACAGTTGGATTGCTAAAGCTGATATGGGCAACGCACGCCGTGCTCTCAAGGACTATCTTGTCAAGCAGGGTGTATCTCACGCCACCCAGCTTTGAGGGGGGGACGTGTGAGAGTACGTCGGCTTATGCCAGCTATGCTTGCTTGCCTAGACTTTATTATGCTGTTTCTTTCATAGGATTATTTTATGCATGCATGAAGTTCTTGATTTCCTAGGCGAGATGCCTTCCTATATTGTATTATAGTTGTCGCACCGAGCTAGGTTGCGTACACCAAATTCTGGGCTATTCGGTTGCCACCGAATTGCCTTCTACCGAATTCGGGAAGGGTCTGTTCGGGACGCGTCGCGATCGTCGGAACCTTCGCGTAACATCTGTTACTGGGCCTTGTGTCGAGCCTATATATAGCCTCGAGTTGTACCCAGGTGATTCATTCAATTCAATCTCAGGTACTCTCTTTTCTGAGCTCGATCCTAGATCCTCACAATCCGGATCTCCCTCAGGGGCAAGCAGTATGGTAACGAGATGAGGTACATGAGACGCGAGGCACTCCAGGTCAAACTATGTGTCCTCAATGATGTCATGGCAAAGGGCAATCTCACCCCCAACGAACAAAGAACAGTCAGATTCAGTGACAAGTGTGTCAACGAGTGACAGTCGAAAAAGCAGCACGAGCTAGGTCAATACGCTAGGAAGTGAGGTCGAGGGAGGTACGGCTGGACAATACGCTGTGGAGCGGAGGTTGGATGAAGTGTCATCACATGAGTGCCAGGGACTGGTGGGGGACGAACATGACAAGCACGACCAACATGACGAACAGGCAAGGCAGGAAAGACGCAGGCTCCGACACTCAGCCAGAGAGTCTGTCAACCCAGTTGTGAGGATCGAGGAACTGGTTCAGAAATGATCGAATGATTTGGTTGATCACATGGGTACAACACGAGGCTATATATAGTATCGACACAAGGCCTGGTAACAAGGTGTTACGTGAAGGTTCCGAAGGTCGTAAAGCGTCCAAAATGGATCTTTCCCGAATTCGGTAGAAGCTGTTTGGTGTGAACGGGATAGTAATGAATTTGGTGCACGCAATCCTAGTTCAGCACCTATAACTATAATAAGTATAGTAAAGTAGCGAACCTAGGAAAACAAGCAAAAACATGCAAGATTATTTAGAGCCAAGCTAGATAATTCATGATAAAGCAGAATCTAGCAAGTAAAGTCTAGCAAAGCCGTCGTACTCTCACACCAGTATAAGGAGAAGGAAGAGGCGATGGAGAGTCAGGCTATAACTGTGTCAGAGACGGGTCAGTCGGTGGGATCAGTAGGGGAGGAGGAGTACCAATGGGAGACGGCTTTGCAAAGGTAGACAGAAGACGGAGAACCTGGTGAAGCGCTGAGCCAAGTGGTGGTAGTGACGACTGCGGCTGCTGGCAGAACAACGGTCGCAACTGCCGTGGCTGTGTAGCACTCCCACCTACAGTACATCCAGCACTAGAACTCCAGAATCTCCAGCGGCAGTGCCTCCAGCACTGCAACCTCCAGCACCGCCAGCTCCAGCACCTCCAGCTCCAGTACCTCCAGCACCAGAGCCTCCAGCACCTCCAGCGGTAGTACCTCCAGCACTGCCAGCTCCACCACCTCCAGCTCCAGTATCTTTAGCACCAGAACCTCCAGCACCTCCAACGGTAGGACCCCTAGCACCGCCAGCTCTAGCAACTCCACCACAACACCGACATCACCAGAACCTCCAGCAGAAGGGCCTCAAGCACCAGAGACTCTAGCACCGTTAGCTCCAGCACCTCTAGCTGTAACACCCCTAGAACCTCTAGCAACAGACTCAGGAAGAGGCAGGAACGACACCTGCAGCTCCCAGGAATAGACGCAGAAGCTGCAGGGAGGGGTGACCAAGATGGTGGTGCCGGGGGAAAGATGGGTGCGTGAGTAATCGACACGAACAAGACGCAGCTACCTGGCCGGACGCAGCCACCATGCAGACTCAGTGTGCAGTGTGTATAGGCCAGACCGAGGCCTCCGAGTGAATGTGGCGAGGTGACTGGCAGTCACTGATCCCGTATAAATCGCTTCAAGCTCGCCCCCAAAAATGGTGGTAGTGACCAAATGGTCCTGGAGGACAGATGTACTCACCAAGTTCATAGCGAATGAGGGGAGGTAGAGACTTGTGCGGGAGCCAGAGGGGGCTGCCGGACACGGAAGAAGTAGAGCTCCATGCAATGACTCGGCTAGAGGAGGGGTCTGGCAGAGTGACAGGGACAGGTGCAGTGAGTAGTGTGACTGTGGTGCAATCGCGAAAGAAGCAACGAGATGTGCCTGAGTCCAGCGTGAAGGTATGCAAAGCCTCCGCAAGAACTGCACCTGTACTACCAGACTCACTGTCACCTACACCAGCCTCCTCAAGATAGGCTAGTGACAACAGCTGCTGCTGCTCCTAGAACAACTGATGCTGCCGCTACTACTACTGCCCACCCCCAGAACCTTCATCCCCAATTTCTGGCGCGACAGGTCGGGGAGGAGAAACAGTAGCGCAAGATGGCCTAGGGTGGCAGAAGAGAGAGATGAGTAGTGTCTATCTACAGCGTCGTAGAACGTTTAAGCCGGCGTCACCTGGTGAAAGTGGGCCTTCTGGTCGAGCGACAGGTGAGCACAGACAACAACCTGGGCGTCAGCGTTGCTTGTCGTCCACCGTGTGCAGGCAACGCGGTTCACCCAGTACCGCCGCTGCACGTCCTCACCAGCATTAGCAGCGGGCTCAGTAGGAGTCGTGAGGGACTGAAGGGACCTCGACGTGTGCTCGAACAGGGAGGCGCCATCCATGATGAAACACTGGAGATGCTGGTGCAGACGCTCTAGCCACGACCCAAAATCGAGAGGGCGTGTGTCTGCGTTAACCTCTAGGACAGTGATAGTGGTCATGACATGAACAAGATCAAGCTTCAGTACTAGGAAGTAGCTGCAGATCTAGGCACCTGTGGAAGTTCGAGGCACAGTGGGAGAATGAACAGCACGATAGTAGGTGAGTGGCTCGGCAGCAGATAGCGCAGCGCGGTAGTAGGCTGTGCAGCGCGGCGGCAAGGCAGTGCGCGCGGCGAGGCATGGCAGCGTGCATGTGGTAGGGCAGTGCACGCGGCAGAAGGGAAGTGTGCGCATATGTGGCAGGGTAGGGCAGCGCCCGTGCAGCAGGGCAGCGCGTGCGGCAGAAGGCAGTGGGCGAGCGTGCAGCAGGGCAGCACGCGGCGGCAGGGCAGCACACGGGCAGGCAGGCACGGCGTAAGGGGCAGCACATGGGCAGGGCAGCGCGCACGAGCAGGCGCGGCGCGCAGGGCAGTGGACGGGCAGGGCAGCGTGGATGGCAGGTTGGGCACGAGGGGCAGCTTATGAGCAGTTGCGTGCGAGGCAGCGGCAGCAGGGTGGCACGCGCGGGCAGGTGCGGCGCGCAGAGCAGCGTACGGGCAGGCGCAGCAGGGTGGCGCACGGGCAGGCGCAGTGCACGGGCAGCGGCGCGCAAGGCAGCTGTGGCAGGCAGCATGCACGGGCAGGCGCGGCGCCGGGGCAGCGTACGGGAAAGGCAGCGCGCATGTGCAGGCGTGGCATGGGGGGGAGCGTACGGGAAAGGCAGCGCGCGCGGGCAGGCGCGGCGCGCGGGGCAGCGGCAGGGCGACACACGGGCAGGTGCGGCGCACGGACAGTTGTGCGCAAGGCAGCAGCGGCATGGCAGCGGCGGCAGGGCAGCATGCACAGGCAGGCGTGGCATGTGGGGCAGCGCACGGGCAGGGCAGCGCTCGCGGGCAGGCGTGGTGCGTGGGGCAGCAAGGGTAACAATAGTAGGTACGGACCTAACCTAGCTCTAATACTATGTCAAGAAGTGTAAAGAGCGGAAAATAATTTGACTAGGTAGCAGTGAGATACAAATGTGGAACCCTAAACTGCTGTACCCCATAAAGCACGCCCCACTATAGCCTACACATTATTGTTATGATTTTGACAATCATAGCTGTATTCTGATGGGTGTATTCTCTTATTAACGATAATACTTGTATTGCTACTATAACAGTGCTATTGCGATTCCTTCAATTACCTCGTTGCAACATGTAACCTCCGATACAGTTACGACAGTTCGAAGCATGTCGCAACTTTCTGGTACAGGTCGGTCAACAGTAGCGACAGTTGACCCGCGACTGTTGACCTGCTGCGTACTATATGGGCTAACGCAGGTGAGATAGGCTTGCACCTTTTGAAATGCTTAAAGCGATTTCCCCCTTACTTCCAACATTAATGCTACCCCATTTGCTCTTTCTATTGCAATAGTTATGCCCTTGATATTTGCTTGTATTTGAGATTGAGGCTGGTGTCTACAGTGTTAATCACTGTAGCATGTTACATTGAATAGTATAGCTGAGACTGCTGGTATCGGGTCTGCCGATCTCTCAGACCATCAGCCTCGGACCTCTCGGATTCGCTCGACCGACAACACAGATTCGGATCTCAGGCTCGGGCGCGCGCTGCGGATCACGGCATACCGGGAAGAAAATGATCAGGACATTTCCGCGAGTTCTGCTGAGCTGGCGGAGGAGACTGGGTACTGCGCATAAAAATCTCGCGCAACTCGCGGCGGGCGCTTCGGCGTCGTACAGCGGGAAAGCGGCGATTCCAGTGGAATGGCGGCCGTGGGTCGTTCGGGGCGCGGCGGTGCTTCTGGCTCTGGGTGTCGCGCACTGCTTCCTTGTCGTCAACGAGGTGCGCGCATCTGTGCCGCTCGATAGTGTAACCACCTTGGATGAATCGCCCGTAGGTCCTCGAGTGAGCTCTCTCGAGTGAGCTCTCTCGTGCTCGAGTGAGCTCTCTCGAGTGAGCTCTCTCGTGCTCGAGTGAGCTCCTTCGAGTGAGCTCTCTCGTGCTCGTGCTGTGGAATCGCGTGTCAAACCCAGTGTTCGCCGCGCGCTGCTGCGCGGACGGCATTGCGAGTGAGTCGACTCGAAGCCCTCTTCAGGCGTCTGGAGCCTCTACTATGCTCTCGTTGCGCCTCCCGCCTCGTTGCGCCTCCCCGCCTCGTTGCGTCTCCCCGCCTCTCTGGCCACGATGATGTGCATGTTGCGCCAACGTAGCGAGATGAAGCGCGCCAATTGTAGCTTGTGTTCTGCTTCGCCGTCACTCTGCAACGCTGCTGCCTCCACCAACGGTTCTGAATTCCGTTCCGATCTGCTTTGTGAATTCCCTTGTTACCTAAATCGTTCCCCACACCACACCCACATCTCCTCACCATCACTCCCTCGTTCGGTTCCGAGCCTCAGCCTTGGGTGGACAGCCTGCAGCTTTGGAACTTCTTCCCGCTGAAGAGCCTGCCGGCAGTGGAGTGGGAGGAGGCGTCCCCACGGCCGGGGTGCATTGTGACTCTCGACTCGCGCTACAGCCCTGAGGGCGTGCAGGCCGTGGAGGCGGCTGTAGCACGGCTGCTGAGGGAGCTGGGGGGGGAGGCGGAGGGGGAGAGAGTGGGGGGAGGGGGAGAAGGGATAGGTGGAGAGCGGATAAGGGGAGAGGGGTTAGGTGGAGAAGGGAGAGGGGGAGAGGAAGTAGGAAGAGGGGGTGTAGGGGCTGCGGGGGGCGATGGGGGACAGGAAGGGCGGAGTTGGGGGATGGGGGACCGGGATTGGAAGAGGAGACGGCTGAAGGAAGGAGCGGGAGAGTGGGAGGGAAGGTGGCATGGAGGTTGGAGGGGGAGGCGACTCAAGGGAGGAGGAGAGGAGGGCTTGGAGGAGGGGGATGGGGGGCTGAACGGGGAGGTTAAGAAGGCGGAGGGGGAAAAAGGGGAGGGCGAGGATGAGGGGAAGGCGGAGGAGACAGATGAGGAGAAAGAAGAGGGTAACGATGAGGGGAATGGGGAGGAGAAGGGTGAGAATGAGGACTCGAAGGTTAAGGAAGAAAGGAGAGGGAGGGGCGGGGAGGCGATGCCGGAGGCGTGGTGGCGGTTCTATGAGGCACTGCCCAAGGTGGTGGATGCGGAGGGGAATGAAATCGTTTGGAAATTCCCCATCTGGGTGGCTCTGGCCGTCAACATGTGCGTGTGTGCTGTGTCAGTATGTGCGTATGCTTCATTGATGTATGTGCCTGTGTGCGGTCATGTTGACGTGCAAGTGTATGTGTCGCAATGCATTCACATGCACGTGTGCCATGGCAGTAACCCATGGTAACCTGAACGCATGTGCTGCTGCCATCCTGCACGTACGCACGGACTCTTGGAAGGTCATCACAGTCAATGCAGTCAACACAGTCAATGCAGTCAACACAGTCAATGCAGTCATCACAGTCAATGCAGTCATCACAGTCAATGCAGTCAACACAGTCAATGCAGTCATCACAGTCAATGCAGTCAACACAGTCAATGCAGTCAACACAGTCAATGCAGTCAACACAGTCAATGCAGTCAAAACAATCCATACAGATGCTTGGGTACGCCATCCCGTCCCTCCCTTGCCGTTACAGATAGAGCAAGCTCATTCGTAGAGCGAGTGAATTTGCCAAGGGGTAGAAGCTCTGTGCGCAGAATGGGTCGGGGAAAGATCCCACGTGCCTGCTCTGCTCTGCTCAATCCCGTCATGGTGCACCAATCTTTGGGTGTGCTGCACAGAAATAGCACGCGTGGTGGCTGCTTCGCTGGTGTGGCTGATCAGGTCAACACAAGTCAACGCAAAGTCCTCCTTCAATCCTATCCGCCTCTCTGCTTCAGGTTGTACGCACGGCGCCATGGGTACCGACTGGTGGTGGAGAACGGATCCAGGTTCACTCCGGACAGACACCCATCGTGGTTCAAGGTAACGGATCCGCACCTGAGGTAAGGGATCCGCACCTGAGGTAAGGGATCCGCACCTGAGGTAAGGGATCCGCACCTGAGGTAAGGGATCCGCACCTGAGGTAAGGGATCCGCACCTGAGGTAAGGGATCCGCACCTGAGGTAAGGGATCCGCACCTGAGGTAAGGGATCCGCACCTGAGGTAAGGATCCGCACCTGAGGTAAGGGATCCGCACCTGAGGTAAGGGATCCGCACCTGAGGTAAGGGATCCGCACCTGAGGTAAGGGATCCGCACCTGAGGTAAGGGATCCGCACCTGAGGTAAGGGATCCGCACCTGAGGTAAGGGATCCGCACCTGAGGTAAGGGGTTTTTCACTTGATGTATGGAGCGCAAGACACTGCTCGCTCTGCCTTTCCCCACCACCCACGCATCAGCTTTTGTGTACGTGCTGTAAACCGTGCATACTCCCTGCATCTCCTGCGCTGCCTGTGTGCGGCGCATCCAGTGCATTGCTCTCCGCACTCACCAGCGGCACTCACCAGCGGCACTCACCAGCGGCACTCACCAGCGGCACTCACCAGCGGCACTCACCAGCGGCACTCACCAGCGAGCACCCCATACCCTTCCTGCTCGCCCTGCCCCCCTGCATGGCGTGCATGGCGTGCACGGCCTACTGCAGGTGCCGTTGCTACAGGAGCAGCTGGCGTGTTGCTGCGAGTGGGCTTTCTTCCTTGACTCAGATGCCTACATGAGCATGCACCACCACACCCTCTCCATCCCCGCCTGGATCCAAGCCATCAAGCAGCCTGTGAGTGCAACCTTGGTTCTTGTTGAAGATTGGTACCACCTATTTTTGTTCTCTTGGTTGAGCTGTTTCTGACTTTTTTCTTGTTCTTTTTTCGTTGCGTTGTCACAACTATGTGACTAGGAACATTGTTTTTTGAAATAAGTATGTCGTCATACAAGAATACCTGCACCAAGACCACATCCATTGGCTCAATGGCATGCCTGCATATTCCTCTTGTGTGTCCCTCAGAACTACTTCTCGTGGCTGCGGAGGGGCAATCATCCCCCAACTCCCAATATGCCCCATGTGTCTCCCTCCTCTGTCTGTTCCTCACCCCGCTCAGAGCTACTTCTCCTGGCTGCGGAGGGACAATCATCTCCCAACCCCCAATATGCCCCTTGTGTCTGCTTCTTGTGCCCCTCACCCCGCTCAGAGCTACTTCTCCTGGCTGCGGAGGGACAATCATCTCCCAACCCCCAATATGCCCTTGTGTCTGCTTCTTGTGCCCCTCACCCCGCTCAGAGCTACTTCTCCTGGCTGCTGAGGGACAACCTGACCGACACTCTGGCCGGGCAGGTGTGGCTCCCACAGGACCCCGCCCTGCTGCTACAGCCGCCCACCGCGCTACAGCCAGAGGGGCCCGTGGCTCTGATTCCACGCAACGGCGACTCGAGGGAGGGGTTCTTTGGGGATGCAGATGCGCTGTTCCGCAAGGACACGGACTACCTCAATGCGGGCGTCATGCTCTGGCGCCGCTCGCCACACACCTTCAAGGTGGGGGGTGGGGGCTTGAGTGGCTTGGGGCTTGAGTGGCTTGGGATGCCAATGGCTGTGAGGGATGTCAAACGGAACAGAAAATTTGAAAGTGAATGAAAGATTGATTGGCTGCGGGATTTCGTGGGGTATAGGTGAGTGGTTGGCACGTGTGGGGTACACAAGGGGCGTCAGCCTAATGCATGAATGCAGGAGTGGTGGTGAGCGGTAGAGGTGTTAACTGTGAAAGAGGTCCCGCGTGGTGTTTATACAGCTTGAAGCACAGCTTCACCTTCAAGGTCAGTATCATGTATGCAATCGCATGCAGAAGCATCTCATCTAGCCTTCACGCCAGTCATTAGAACCTTGTGTTGGTGATTCAGTCGCTGCATGCTCGTTGCATTCTCTCCCATTGTCTCTCCCATTGTCTCCCCCATTGTCTCTCTCATTGTCTCTCCCATTGCCTCTCTCATTGTCTCTCCCGTTGTCTCTCCCATTGTCTCTCTTATTGTCTCTCCCATTGTCTCTCCCATTGTCTCTCTTGTTTCCTCTCCCAATGTCTCTCCCATCGTCTCTCACGTAATATCGTCATTCTACTACTCTTGCCCCTTCCTTCTCCCCTCAACCAGTTCTTCCAGCAGTGGTACAGCGTGCCTCGGGGCGACTACCACCTGTACGGGCACGTGTGGGAGCAGGCGAGGCTCAACCAGGTGGCACAATGGCCGCAGTGGCGGGCGAGGGTGGTGGTGGTGCCCTACCGCGAGCTCACAGGGCCGCAGGGGGCCATGCTGCGCCACGTGTGGGGAAACGTGACACAGGACGAGCGTGCCAGGGTGGTGTATGAGGCACTGGAGGAGGCACTGGGCCGCCTCAAGTAAGGGCAGCCTGAAGTAAGGGCAGCACACACATGGGCTTGCCTGGGCTTGCTGCAAGTAAGGGCAGCCCATGAGGGGGTGGTGGTGCATGGGGCGGTGGAGGAGGCACTGCAGTGGGCGTTGCTGGGTGAGGTCCCATGCGTGCAAGGAGTCACGGCTACTGCGTCTCGCTTGCAGCGGCGCATGTGCGTGGGTTGATCTTCCTCAAGGAGCATGTGATAGCGTGGTGGTTGGGGTACCGGCGTTACAGGCTGCAGCAGGTGTTGTGTATGGGAAGCTATTGTAGAGCTTGAAGGAGAGTGTTCTGATCTGAAAGGTGGTACTTCAGGCATTGGAAGAAAAGGGAGGGGCTTGCCCCACACTGTGGTTGGCATGCAGTTCATGTGTGGGGAGTGGTGGCTTGTTCTGGTGACCTACTTGCACAAGCGTTACCGGCAGGTTCATTGCATGGTTGCTTTGTTGTGAACGCTGTGCCTTGTATGTATAGTGGAATGCCAGTTTTTATCATATGTCCCTGCTCATGATGTTTATACATACGGTATGGTGTTCACTTCAGTACCAGGAACCGATACAGTGCTTTCAACGAGGTGAGAAATGGGTCACTTTAACAGAGAGGATGATGCCAATCAGGCACCCTCAATCCTACGATTGCCCTAAAACCAATTCGGGGCCTTGGGTGGGAGGATTGCTTTTTGAAGCACGTCGACCTTGTAGTGCTTTATGGACAATAATTTGTCATTGCTGTAAAGGAAATCACTGCTGGCAGTGATACTGTAAGGGCGTGTTCCTATGGCCCCCTATCAGGCCCCTCTTATCAGGCCCCTAATAGGACAACTCAAACTTTAGTCTATGACACATTTCAAGTTTCTAAGGGCTTTTGATAAGGGCATTTTCAGCATTGTTGAAGTCAGCAGCCCAAATTGGGAGGATCAGGCGCGCATGCCAAGTGTCGTAATGTTGATTAAAAGCGATTGCGTGGCATGCTTGTTGGAAAAAATTGGTGACAATGTGTGCCAATTGTTCGATTGGTCAATAGCTGAAAGTCAATCCTGGTCAGCGGGAAACTTGAAAACGGAGCGGTTGAATACGAATAACAAACTCGAGTTTGCTGACTCACCGAAACACGACTTTGGAGCGAGAGGTTTTGCGAATCAAAACACTCTCGATATGTTCACTCTCTCAAACCTTGTTTGACAAACTTTATATGCTTGAAGAAGGTGGGTTGTGGAATTTCAACAACAATAAAAACAACCATACCGTCATCGCCAGGATATAAGATAGTGTTGACTTTAAACATGGGTGTCTTTAAATAGTGTAAATTCTTATGATTGGATGTTCTGGTTACAAGAGAACCATGTGTGTATCGAGTTTAGACATATGTGTCTTCCAAATGTTCATGTGTTTAGGGGTTTCCGTCTAAACGAGAGGGGTCTTCCAAACGGTTATACTACATTCACAGGATACAGGCATCACAAATCCCTGTTAGAGTAGCTAGGCAAGGTTGATTCAACTATCGAGAGAAAAGCACATGAAGGAAACCCTAAAGTGTTATACCCCATAACATCTACCCCACTACAGCTTACCAATATATAGCATAGATATATCATTTGACACACCCCCATAGGCAAAGTGGGGGAGAGCAAGAGGTCACAAGACCAGTCAAGAAAAGCAAAGCAAGCTCAGGGTGGATCACAACATCACCACACTGAGCACAAGCAAAAAGGCCACAAGGTCAGTTCACATGCAGAGGTATATATGCAACAAGAACAGTACAGTGATCTCTACCTAGCAAGAGCAAGCATGCAGGTATATATATATATATAGATCACAGTACAAGCAGAGTCTACAGCAAGTGTGGAAACGTAGGCACAAGGCCCAACAAAGTACAAAAGCGCTGATGATCACCAGACGGAAGTGCCTTGGTGAATATATCAGCAGTGTTGGCCCGAGTGGCCACGTGAGCAAGACGAAGCTGACCACGCTGCTGCAGCTCTCGAGCGAGGAAGTAACGCAGAGCGATGTGCTTCGCTCCTGACACAAGGCAATGGCGGCCTTGTTGTCTACGTACAGCACTGGAGGAGAACGAGGCCGCTCTCCCAGGTCGGTCAGCAGGTAGGTGAGCCAGCGTAGCTCCTGTGCAGCCATGGCGGTGGCGTAGATCTCAGCCTCACAACTAGAGCTGAGAATAGAAGACGAGCGCGTGGACCGCCACGAAACAGAGCCAGAGCCAAGGCTGAAGGTGTAACCCTGTGACGACCGCTGCGTAGCCAGGTCGTCAACCCAAGAAGCGTCCGAGTGCCCAGTGAGGACAACTGGGCTCCGCCCTCCAAGCACGAGCCCCATGCCCGATGTACTGCACAAGTAGCGCAGTACCCTCTTAGCAGCAGCCATGTGCTCTTATCGGTGCCTACCAGGAGCCACGTAGCGAGCGAGAAGGCCAAGAGGGTACGCAAGGTCAGGACAAGTGCAGGTCATCAGGTACATGAGGCAGCTCACTAGCTCTGGGTAAGGACCACTCGGCTCTACGGACTCGTCCGAAGGTGGAGCTGAGAGGGAGTGACCTGTAACCAGGAGTGTGCTGTGGCAAGGACCAGGTGAAGCCGAAGCGCTGAAGGACCTGCTGCACCATGTGTGACTGAGTCAGTGTGATGGTGCGGCGTGCTCTGTCCCGAGTGATCTGCAAGCCAAGGTAACTGCGCAGCTCACCCAGGTCTGTGCACGTGTGTCTCTTCTGCAGCTCCGACTTCATCAAGGCGAGAGCCTCAGTGTCAGCAGTGGCAAAGACCAAGTCGTCGACGTACACGAGGATGTAGAACGGTGGCAGCGAAGTGTCGGTGCGCAGGAACAGCGACGGGTCAGCTGTCGAAGGAGCGAACCCAAGAGCCGCCAGTGTCGTCCTCAGTGTGTCGTGCCACTCACGTGGCGCCTGGCGGAGACCGTAGACTGGCCGCCGGAGGCTCCACTGGGTACCACGAGGGAACGACCCAGTGAAGCCAGGTGGGCGGCGTAGCCAGATCTCCTCGTGCAGGCTGCCCTGTAAGAAAGCTGTGCTAAAGTCCAGAGAGTGAAGCTCGTAGTCACGCTGAGCGGCAACGTGCAGCAGCACCCGAAGAGTGGTCATCTTCGGGGTGGGGGAGAAGGTCTGGAAGAAGTCAACTCCCTCTCGCTGACTGAAGCCTCTAGCAACATAACGAGCCTTGAAGACAGGCGGAGAACCCGGCGGCCGCTTCACCCTGAAAATCCACATGCCATCGACGATGTTCGCCCCAGGAGGGGGAACCTCATCGACGTAAGTGCCTGTGGACTTTCAGGATGCCATCTCTGCGTCCATGGCTGTCTGCCACTGAGAGGAGTACTCACCCGCGATCGCCTCAGCGTAAGAGCGCGGGGTCGGGATGTCTGGTGCATCCGGGTCTCCCTCAGGGGCAAGCAGCATGGCCACGAGATGAGGCGCAGCAGCCGCAAGACACTCAAGGTCCTCGTGCCTGTCCTCAAGGACGTCCGTGCTAAGAGCACACTCACCCCCGACGGACGGAGGACAGACAGACTCAGACTCAGCAACAAGACTGGCAGCGAACGAAGACTAGACGACAGGCAGCAGCAAAGTCAACAAGCTCAGCGACCAGAGCAGACGCAGCAGTAGACTCAAACGACGGGTCAGTGACAACAGTGGCTAGCAGACGCGTGACAGTAGGGTGCTCAGCACGAAACCGGTCAGACTCAGGGTCCGGAACGTCAGGCAGAGAGGACGCAGGAGGAGACGGCAGAGGAATAGGCTGTTGAGCAGAGGAAGGACGACGGACTACGAGGTGTGCGCTGGGGACAGCCGGCTGACGCGAACGAGGAACACGACGACCGGTACGACCAGGACGAATAGGCGAGACAGGACGCGACGCAGGCTCACGACGCTCAGCAGGACTACCTGTCTGCTCAGTGTAAGGAGAAGGAGCAGGCAGCGGTGAGCCAGTCTGTAACGGAAGACCAGTAGACGACGGGAGAGTAAGAACCTGACGAAGAACAGAGTCAGGCGGCGGCAGAGACGACGGAGACAGCGGAGCGAAGAACAGTCGTGTCGGCGCAGCTGCACCAGGACCGGCAGCTCCAGCAGCTCCAGTACCTCCAGCAGCTCCAGCACCTCCAGCAGCTCCAGAAGCTCCAGCCCCAGAACCGACACCTCCAGTCCTAGGGTCTCCAGCCTCAGTGTCTCCAGCAGCAGCACCCCTAGAACCAGCACCTCCAGTCCCAGGGTCTCCAGCCTCAGTGTCTCCAGCAGCAGCACCTCCAGACGCAGCACCCCCAGCCCCAGCAGCTCCAGTACCTCCAGTAGACAAAGTACCAGCACCACTCCTAGCTCCAGGGACGTCAGCAGAAGTACCTCCAGCAGCAGAGCCCCGGGCTCCAGCAGCGCGACCCTGACGGCGACCGTACCAGTCGTGCAGCTGCTGTGAGGTGAGAGGCACACGTGGACGAAGGCGGCTACTCCAAGGAGACCGCGCAACAGCAGACTCAGAACCCTCAGCGCCAGCACCCCCAACTGCTCCAGAACCTCCAGCGCCAGCACCCTCAGCAGCTCCAGAACCTCCAGGCGCAGTACCTCCAGGCTCCTCACGCGTAGGCTCAGTACCCTCAGACTCGGCACCCCCAAGCTCAGCACCTCCAGGCTCCTCACGCGCAGGCACAGCACCCCCAGACTCCGCACCCCTAGGCTCAGCACCTCCAGGCTCCTCTCGCTCAGGCTCCGCACCCTCAGACTCGACACCCCCAAGCTCAGCACCTCCAGGCTCCTCACGCGCAGGCACAGCACCCCCAGACTCCGCACCCCCAGGCTCAGCACCTCCAGGCGCCTCTCTCTCAGGCTCCGCACCCCCCGGCTCAGCACCCCCAGAGACAGCACCCCGAGCAGGACCACCTCCAGCAGGACCTGAGTCACCAGTGACCTCAACAGGCGCAGGTACCGGAGGGTCTACCTGAGAAACACCTGAAGGAGCAGGACCTGGCGCGGG